TTCGCGATCTAGTAAAACAGTTAACTGGTCAGCGGACAGCTTCCAAATAAATCACGTCACCTCGATGAGTTGACACATGAGCCCGCGATATGGTCATGGGATACTGGTCAGTGGCTATCCTGTTTGGACAGCTGTCAATTGACCATATTGTTAATGTCCTATATTAAAGATGTGGACTTGCCAAGACACGCCTGAGACACCCCTCCCTTCCTTTTGATAGTCTCCCCTACCCCACCCATACAATCTGTAGACGCGTACGTACGTACGTACGTACGCTCGGTCAATCACGTGACAACCAAACGAAAAGAGGTTGACCATATTCCATGGGTATGGGGCTCTGTCCCAAGCGCGCTTCGCGCGCGCGGGAGCCCCGCTATTAATGGGAGCCTCGCTTTTAGCCCTGGCTAAATCTATGTATTACCCGAGTTCGCCGAGTTAGTGCCCCCTTGTTGTAGTTTGGCGCTGTGTAGTACATTTACATTTAGTATATGCTAAAACAATGGATAGTGTTTTTCGCGCGCTCTGATTGGCTGCTCAATCTCGGAATATCCTGCACTATTCACTGATTCACCTCCAGCCGAGCGGCGCCGAACTCTTGCAAGTTACATGTACGACAAAAATGGCTCAGTCTCGGTTTGCCACGGTAACTAGCGACGAAATTTCGAAAATAAATGAAGAGGCCATACCAGACAACACTAAAAAAGCGACTAAATTCGGTCTAGCAGTTTTCACAGGTAAAGCTTTGTCTGTTTAACCTGAATTTTATCGATGAAACCGGTGAAAAAGTTTTTTGTTTACAAATGCAAATTATGTCTTTCGTTACTTAATGTTAGCTGACATGTTTATAAATAAGCTTACTTTTTTTACAGAATGGTTTCAGATGCAAGAAGAGTTCAAAACTCCCTTTGAGGAGATGTCACCAATTCAGCTTAACAAATGCCTCCAAAAATTTTACTTGTCCGCACGAAAACGTGACGGCAGTTACTACAACAAAAAGTCGCTTATCGCAATCCGAGCCGCGTTAGATCGTCACTTAAAAAGTCCTCCGTTTTCAAAGCCATTTTCCATTGTTGGCGACAGTCATTTTCATGAAGCCAATAAATCCCTCAGCAATTTTCTGAAAACTCTGAGCAAAAGTGGCCAAATAGCTCCGACAGTGCACAAACAAGTCCTAACAAAGGAAATTGTTGAGAAACTTTACGAAGAAGGCGAGCTTGTTGACATCGATTCTCTCCAACCACACAAAGTACGGCAGACGGCCTGGTTCTTCATCAGTTTATTCCTCGGAAAGAGAGGTCGAGAAAACCAGCACCTGCTTAAGAAACACATGCTTATCTCAAGGGAAGCGCCAAATGGTGAAAAATATCTGGAAATAAACAAAGAGCGCGGAGCAGTGTTGGCGACTAAACACCATCAATGTGGCCTAGATGATAAAGAAGATGAGTCAAACGGAAAAATATTTGAAAGACCAGGCTCAAAACGCTGTCCAGTGAAACTCATCGAGAAATACCTGTCACATCTGAGTCCCAAATGCAGCAGTTTATTCCAGAAACCAAGAAGCTCGTGCAAAGCGTTTAACCCAGCAACGGATCTTGTGTGGTACTGCTCGAGTCCACTTGGCCACAACACGCTTGAAAATATGCTACGAAGAATGACATCAAGAGCTGGAATAAAGCCACATCTAACAAACCACTCGATCAGAGCGACCACCGTGACGGTTTTGTCAGCTGCAAACATCGAGAGTCGGTACATCAGGGCAATAACCGGCCACCAAAGTGAAGAAAGCATCAAGAGCTATTGTGATACGCCGACATTCGAGCAGTTTAAAAGAATGTCAAACGAGCTAAGTGAATTCTTCGATCCAGCTGGTGACGATGACAAGGCTGTTACAATCCCTCAGAAAACCGTTGCGTCGTCATCGAGCCAGCCGCAATCAGTAGCTACGAGCACTGCAAATTATTCCTTCCAGTCCATTCAAGATGGATCACAGAATCTTGTCCATGGCTTCATTCCCGGAGCCACGTTCCATAACTGTAATCTCAACTTTAAGTTGAGCTTTGGAGGAAGCAGCAGCAAATAAAACTTGTAACAGACAACGAAAAGAACAATCTACAAAGATGGCGTAAAGCCAGGACTTTTCCTTTCGCATAGCTTGATCTTTCATTTACGGTTGTATTATGAACATTTCATCATCAGATGTGTCATGTGACTATTTTGAGCTGCGCGCATGTTTGTTTAATTTGCGCGCCAAAGTTGTAAATAAACGAATTAAAAATCGTCATTTGAGATCATTTTAGGCTTATTATCTCACTGTTTTAGCATATACTAAAACAATTATTCACCTCAGTGTCGGTGGCCAGTATTGGATATTTACCTCGCCGCTTTCGCGGCATCGGTAAATATCCAATACTAGCCACCTCCACTTCGGTGAATAATTGTTATTTATTTAGTACGACAAAACTGATGACAGGATATCTTTTTTTCTATGGGTGGAAATGCTAAACGTGTTATATATCCTAGAAGCACTCAGGCATAATTATATGCCAGGACTTCTACCTGGGTGAACCAGAAAGGATATGGGACAAGTGCCTAATTTTTTTTTTTCGGCTACAGGTCGAAATGCTAAACGTGTTATATATCCTAGAAGCGCTCAGGCATAATTATATAAAAGGATATCTGCGACTGAGTTTGCGGTGTGCAAGATGGGATAAATGTAATTTCATGTATAGGCATTTACCCGACTTGGAAGCAGATATTTCCTCCAGCCGATTAAGTCACTGTTTATGCAGGAGAATGTCTGCGTTGTTTTGTTTCTATGAAAGTTTAATCAAAGAAAGCTTCAGCGAAAATAGGGAGATTACAATTGTTATACTTCTACAAACTACAAATTAGGACTGACCTGAAAGACACGTTGAATTGTGCCGCCATTCTGCAGAATATAATCTGGCCGCGTTTAGGGAGACAATTTCATCTTCCATTCAGATTTACTTGTTTGTTTGCCAGAATCTTCAGACAAAGAATAGGGTGTAGAAATCGAATGGCCTGAGAAAATTAGTCCTTGAGTCTGCTTATCGATCACAACATGTTTTGGAAGTACGTACACGGAGACGCGCTCCAAACGAGGTTGTCGCAGCGGTTCCGGAGCGAACATTGACTGACAAAATTACCATTGCACGAGTTATCATGCCAGTGATTTCTCCTTTCGTCGCATAGATATAGTAAATGGTTTGTAAGCACATCCTCGCCTCTCAAAACATTCGTTTTGCGCCGCTATAGAGTTCCGTTTCCCGCGAACCGTAGGTAGATTTCCCGCTTAACAAAATGTTTGATAATTTATGCAAAATTGAACCTCGTGAAAGTCAGAAGTACATTTACAGTCGACTCCCGATAACTCGAACCTTCAAGGGAAATCGAAAAAAGGTTCGAGTTATCGGGAGTTCGAGTAACCGGGAGTTCGAAGAAAATAGCCGAGAGTAAGGTAAAAAACAGTTTTTATTGCACAGTGAACATTTTAATCACATTTCTCAAACTCATTAATAATTCATAAAGAAAATTCAAAGGAAATTAATGTTTAATGAGTGTTTGGATATCAGATGAAAAACTGCTCATTTTTGCATCCTTAATTTCTCCTTCAAAAATGATTTTGTTTGAGAAGAAATATCAAACATTCGACACAGTGTTTCATCACCAGATGAAACACCTCGAAGTTCGTCAAAAATACCCCGCTGCGCGTCGTATTTTCAACTCTCTTCTCGGTGTTTCATCTGGTGATGAAACACTGCATCTCATGTTTGATATATTACTTAATTGTAGAAATGTCAAGTGAGAATTAAAAGATACTTTTAGATAAATCAGAACGTAACGTAACAAAACATAGCCTAAATAGAGCATGCGTTTTACTGTTTTGAGAAGAAAAGCTGCTTCACGTTAGCCTGTGACAATCAACATTAGCCTCTACTAGTAAACTATACTCCTACAACACGCCAATAGGAAATCCAAAATTCAATCAGAGTCAATGTTTCGGACGCCAGTAGACGGCTTTTTCCCCGACTTTTTAAGGGCTCAAAACATGGTTCGAGTTATCGAGGGTAAAATTATATAGAAAATGACCTAAAGGGAAACGAAAATTGGTTCGAGTTAGCGGGAGTTCAAGTTATCGAGGGTTCGAATTACGGAGGGTAAAATTACAGTGAATGTATGACGGAAATCCAGGGGAAATCGATTTTGGTTCGAGTTAGCGCGAGGTTCGAGTTAGCCAGGGTTCGAGTTATCGGGAGTCGACTGTATCAACTCAAATAAACAGACTTCCTCCACGGGGGTTTGAACACGATTTTAATTAAAGTACTTTACGAGCGCTGCGGTAGTTGACCGCAAAAAGTGTTACGATGATATAGGTGGCCAGTTGGAAAATCAAGACTGGACTGGACTGGACTTCTTTTTTAGGGGAGTAATTTTTGGGGGGAGGAGGGGGGTATTTTTCTAGTTTGTAAAAAAAAATTGCGTTTTCAACCGTTCCCCAATAGAAAAATACCCCCCCCCCCCCGGCAAAAAATATATATGGATAGATAGATATATTACCCCCTAAAAAGGAAGTCCAGTCCAGTCAAGAGTCCAGTCCACAGTCCGGTCCTGGCTTTCCAGTTAACTGGCTTATTAAGTCACTACACGGCAACCAGACGCTCCGCATTTTTTAACTTCCGGAACGCTGAGGCTTGTAATGAGTAAACTTTCAACTCGAAGTCTCAGGTAGTCTAACTCGAAATCGAATCCAAGCGCGTACATTCCCACGTCAAACCAACAGAAATCATTAATAGACGGCATTTTACAGTTACGGAATCAAACCGAGGCAAAAGTTGCTTTGATAAAACCCTTCCTCCTTTATTATGTTAATCCATGTTTTTCATGCTAACTTGTATTTTTAGCATCAGTAATTTTCATAAGAAAAGAAAAGAGGTTTCTATCACGACAAGGTCATGCTACCAAGTTCACAACAGTAAAATGGTCTATTGTCCTTCGGTACGTCAAGCTCACAGGCCGCGGTTTTTTTCATGTCATTCTGTGCCGCTTTAACGTCGAAGAATATCAGACCTCAAAATAATAATGGCTACAACCGTGAACGAAGAAAATGAGCCTCATGAAACGTCCCGTGATAGACAAAGTGACACGGAAAGTCGTCGAAATACGTGGCTGGCTTTAGGCAGGTTACTTCTTCACATCTTATGCTCGGGTTATAGTTTATCTCTCGTCTGGCTTCTCGCATACCTGAAAGGCAATTCAAACTACTGGTTCCTTAGTTTTATTCCCATCTTTTTTAATTTTTCCCCCTTGCTCAACTTCCTAATATCCTTGTGGAAACCGACGTCGACTGTGTTACAGTTTGAGCCCTCGACTGGTGTCGTCATTAATTTAATGGCCTGCTTCACTATGTTAACTCGTGTCGCTTATTACCACCGCCAAGAGGACGAATTCATTGGACCAAGATTTATCATCATTTCATTACAAGCAAGCATCATTCTAGTGTTTCTGGACTTTTTGCAACAGAGAGATGCAAAGCTGGAAAACTTTCTCAATTTTAAGGATGCCATGATCCGAATGTTGCTTGATTTTGTTGACATTTTTAACATGGTAGAAATTCTCTCAAGAAATCCGTGTGTTGGAGTCGGATTATACGTCTCCGAAAACAGCTCTACAGAGCGAGCAATTCAGGCCTTCTGTACTCTCTCATTTTTCGTGATTATGAGCGGGCTTGATACCAAGTTGCTGGAGCAATGGAGAACAGTGCGGCTATCGGACGAGCCTCCAAGGAATGATGGTGAGCTGATGCACTCCGGTTTGACCGTGATTTCTTCTCTTTACCAAAATTTGCCATTCTTAGTCATTAGGATTGTAGTATGGGCTCAGTATAGGTTGTACAGCTTGGGATTCCTAGTGAAAAACGTTACTGTTATAATCCTTGCTATTGCAATATATTATAAAGCCCGCTGGAAAAGGACGAATGACATTGAACATGGCCATAGTAATTTTCAGGGGCACCCAACGAGAATATAGTTCAAAACCACTTAAACATAGCATAGTTAAACGTGTTTTAGAATTTAAACGGTTGATTTGGGCATATTTTTATCCCCTATAAATTTTTCATCTGTTCGGATTTCCTAGCTGAAAGTCTAGTGATCCGAAAATTATAGGGATCAAAACTTACCTGTTCGAAAATTTCAGCCAGAAAAAAGGCTCCTGAAAATTCTAGGTGACCTTTTTAGGGTAAAAATCCGTTGAAAATGGATTTTACCATTTTTTAGAAGTTCGAAAATCCTAGGAGAGGCAGGGAAGCAAGAAATTTTACAACAAATGTTCCGAAAATACTAGATCTCAAATCGTCTTCCGAACAGATGTTTTTCCGAAAATTGTCGTTGGGTGCCCCTGAATTTGCTGGGCAGTAATAGCGGGGCTCCCGCGCGCGCGAAGCGCGCGTGGGACAGAGCCCCATACCCATGGAATATGGTCAACCTCTTTTCGTTTGGTTGTCACGTGATTGACCGAGCGTACGTACGTACGTACGCGTCTACAGATTGTATGGGTGGGGTAGGGGAGACTATCAAAAGGAAGGGAGGGGTGTCTCAGGCGTGTCTTGGCAAGCCCACATCTTTAATATAGGACATTAACAATATGGTCAATTGACAGCTGTCCAAACAGGAGAGCCACTGACCAGTATCCCATGACCATATCGCGGGCTCATGTGTCAACTCATCGAGGTGACGTGATTTATTTGGAAGCTGTCCGCTGACCAGTTAACTGTTTTACTAGATCGCGAACAACGTTCAATCTCATACTTTTACTAGTTTGGGAGCACAGGAAAACTGATAATGCACACATATTGGGCATCAATGTTTTAATCAATTGACAGCTGTCAAAACAGAGTACCCGCTGACCAGTATCACTTGACCGTATCGCGGGCTCAGGTGTCGACCCGTCGAGGTCAAGTATTTTTTGAAGTTATCCGCTGACAAGTAAACTAGTTTTCAAATGATCGCAGGCTCAAGTTCAATTTTTTTTCTTAATTCATATGAAATATGTTGTGTTTATGTGCTGCACAATTAAAATTTTGATTGCAAACTGACCTCGGACGTGAAAATTCAGCCAGCTGTTACAGGCAGGGAAGACAGTTGCTTTTGTTTTTTCTCACAATGGTCACGCTCTACGTCCAATTTTTATGCTCTGATTGGTCAAAATTTGACATGTGAGTTCATGCGCAAAATTTATGCAGCATCTTGAATCTTGTTTACTTTAACAGCTGAAGCTGACAGAGTTTTGTGTCAACTTGTGATGTTTTTAACTGTCTTTTTCCACTGGATGTACAAAATGAAATTGAGCTGCTATCAGGAGTCTTCTGTTACTCATGGCTAGTTTGTTTATTGGGTTTTTGGTTGAGAAAACGTCGCTTGTCAAAGTCGGAAATCCGATTTCGGATGGCATCGTTTTCGTTTTCACTTTGCTTGATGCGTAAGAGGATTGCAAAGTCTGAAGCGATACTGGCTTTACCTGATAACTTTCAGGAGCTGCATCTCGAATGGTAAGCCAGAGAAATTGTTGTATTTCATGTTTGTTTTTTGTATCTAATTTAATGAAGTGGAGCGTAGTTTATGCGGGAATTTAGTTTATGCGCGTTTGTAAGTTTTGAGACAACGATCTCTGGTTTGATATAATCTTACAGAACTTTAAAAAGCCTTTAGACAGTTTCTCATCGCAAATAGAAAGAAAATGTTCCAAAGAATCTTTAGTTATAATTCTAGCCGGAAAAGAAAGCTTTGAGCGATTTTCTTGCCTCGAGTTCGTCTTTGAAAAAACAAACACCGGGAAGCTGGCTTAAAACATAAACTTCAGCAAACTTAAGCTTGAAGCTTGAAGACTCAGGACATTTAGGGACACTTTAATACTTGTCTTCCTGAATGAAAATTGTTGTCTCTGTTTATGTTTCACCGAATTATATTTCTTTTATTGATTGTTGGTAGTCTCTCTTGCAATTTTAATCGCTATGCCGATTGTTTTCAGTCGTTCAGTGAACATCGCTTGCAGGAGTTCTCAAAATGCCGCGCGTTAAACCATCAAATAAAAAATAAACATGATAAATTCTTTATTATCTTGGAGCGTAACTCTGTTAATGTTCATTCAAACACTCGCTACAGCTCGCACTGCAAAAGTGAGAACCGGATGGCCGTATAGGTGATTTTGGAAAAATTTTTTAACAGTTTATGAATATTGAATGAGAGCAATTTATATTCTGAAATACTGCTTTCTGTCCATGGTATAAAAGGTTGGTTTACACGCACCCAGATTTGTTGGCAAGATTTTGCAAAGTAAACTTGTCGAACGCCAAAACGTTGGCCTGATTTTTTTTCTAAGCCTAATTGATCTACGGTGATCATAGCCATTACGGCTCTTAAATGTGATAAAAGATGATTACCAGTTTTTCAGTGTACATATGAGGCTATCAACTCGATGTAAGATTTGGTTCACTCTTGGGCTGTTTGCAAATTATTTTTCTCTAAAATCAGGTAGCCTTTCCCTCAAAAGTCACATAAATGTGCTCTAAAGTTAACTGAATTGTGGAATTCGAATACAAGTTTATTGTTTAATTTAAATTATAAATTTACTAATGGGAGCCTCGCTTTTAGCCCTGGCTAAATCTATATATTACATCATAACGTATGAATCTACTAAGGAAACAATTAAAATGGGTTTTCAATCATAGTTACCTCGAAAGCAGAGGTTTCTCTCTTCCCGACTAGTTCAATCGATAAAACCGATAATCGATAATAACTGATAAAATCGATAAAAATTAGTTGATTGTATCGGAAATCGATAAAAATCGATAAAGGGATACGTTGTGAGTAATCGATAATTATCGGTTTTTAAATTATTGACATTATTGTACTTATCAAATTAATCGGCGCAATACGTTACCACGTATTTAAGGGCAGCGAAGCATCAGAACTTCCCGAAAACCAGTCTAACAAAATATTACTCTCGTAGGATATAAGTTTAAAGATTTATTTCACAAAACAAATATTGAACAAATACGTAACATGATCGGTATTATACTTAACATGATTCTGCGGAGAAACAAAACTTAACAACTTCTTCTTGCATTTTACTTAGAAACTATTAAAGTTAAACACCGTTTACTTAACACATTTTACGACGGTAGTACAGTGGACGAACAATTCCGGGTTATTAGCGAGCGAGAAGGTCTTAACACGCCCAAATAAAACAGATATAAGCTCCTTATTAATCGCATCGGCAAAAACACAGCTTGTTTTTTAAACGCTGACCTGGAAGAACCGGTATTTTGCATTTACAAGTGTCAACAATACACGGTCCTTAATGAAAGCGATAAAATCGATAAACTTTTTTCCGCTAAGGCAGCAATTAAATGAAGATGTGTTCAAAGATAGGGCTAGCTTACTGCACTTTTACATACAATGTCTTCTTCAATGAAAGATGCTTTGATGAATACCTTTTGAGGTTTTTTTCAATGCAGCAAAATATCTTGTTTTAATTTAATCGTTTTTCTTTTTTATATATATTTTTTTATATATACATATTTAACTCGGTCTTAATTTTTATTACGCGATTAGAAATAATTTTGCGAGCAGTTTTTATCATTTGAGATATTCTGTTCAGAAGTGATATAATAAAGTTATCTTATCTTGTCTGTTTACTTTATTTTGAAAGTTAAGCCTGTTGATGAGCAGATAAGTGTTTTCTCTCCCAAAAAGTGATTCTCTCCCTCGGTGTGCTTCGGTGTGCGCATCCATTGAATAAGAACTGTCTCTGAGGTTATCGTCTGGCCTCCATTTCAATGCCTTCCCTCAAAAGATGGCAGGATGAGCGCTTTCGAGGTTTCCCTTCACTTTATGTTGAGTTGAAACCGCTAGATAAGTGTTTTCCCTTCCATGATGTGGTGGCAAATTTCTTTCTGTAAGTTATTGTAGTTTTCTCTCTGCCTGGGAATTAGTCAGGAAAGGAAGATGGTATTGGTACATCGCACTGTCAAAAAAAACAACAACAAAAGCAAAACAAAAACATTTGAGCCTTGAGTGCATAGTCAGTAGGGTGTTAAATGCAGTATCAGACAATAAAAAAACTAAAGCATAATTTGTTTTGCGATTTTTGTTTTACAAAGAAACAGACAATTACTTCTCTAAAACAGTATTTTAGGACCAAAAGTTGACCCTGTCTTATGTTATAAACGTAGGAGAACAACAATTATATATCCTGCAAGCGGAGGCGTCTTTCTGGTATGGCTTTTAGCATTTACGAAGTCGTTTTCGTCGCTAGCCAACAAGTTTCATTCAATCAAAACGAAAGGCTCAATGGCGTTCGAAGTCTTGGTTCAAAAAATGTTTGAAGATTCTAGGATGATTTTTCGATTATTTTTAATGAATAGGTATTTAAATAATGGAAAAATGGAAATTATTGGATTTGGGGATTGCTGAAATATAAAATATGAAGGGAACAGGTAGTGGACAAATACAAGATACTATCAGTAGTCCATTAGCGGACCAACTGGTTTATGTGCATATGTGAACACCTTTCTCTACACCGTTTCTTTCATTCCCATTACCCCAATAAACAAAGACACTCCCCCCCTCCGCCTAAAACGTGTACTATAATCTCTTCAATTTATTTAAGATGGAGACTGAAGGAAAGTTATTCAACCCTGACTGCGGTTGTATTAAAATCGACGACCGTCCTTGGGACAATTAGCAGAGCCATCTCATATCTAGCAGGCGAAAATGGAATAAGCCGCGGATAAAACTCATTTTAAATATTTTAAATTTTCATTCTTATGGCATAGTTTGCGGCGAATTATGACCCAAAGACTATTTAATGGACGCATTTTCTACCGGATGTCATAATGCTCATTATCTATGCTCGCGGAAAATACTGGACATTCAGTAATTCATAATTGTCGTCGGCCAAAGGATCAGTACCTCACGTGCTTTGCAGCCTTGTTAATATTCATCAGGTTCGACCAGGGGAAGGGGGGTAGTGGAATACCAAAACACCCGAAATAAACCTTCCAATACACCAACAATTATACTAAAACTCGTGTAAAATACCAAATTAAGAAATACACGGTATACTTTATACCCAAAATTGGTCGTGAGGGACATACTTTATACCCAATTTTAAGCATAAAAATACTGTATACCTGAAATTAAATACCTAAATATACTGTATACCCGAAAACCCTGGCTGACCCTGATTCATGTACAAGAAAACTTGTTTTGTTATTTTCTTACGTAGTTCGTCATTTTGCCTCCAATATACCAATTAATTATTTCAGCGAGCGATCACTAGTCTCGTTGTAATTCTCTTCGTCTATACAGATGCGAGATTGTTATGGATACGTCATGATCAGTTCTCCAACCTTTTTTTGACAGGCAAAAGTAGCGAGAAATAATTCATGATTTCAAACAGTTTTATGGGTCATCAAACATTCAATTCGTTGAGTGCTTATTCTTGTTAAACTTCTTTCCTAAACAGAGTAGCCGTGCCGGTTTTCAAAGTACAGAAAGAAAGTGATTCTCAATAATACTGGGATTTGACAGTTTGCTGTGCCATTTCGACAGCATCAAATGAATAAAGCGAATAAGAATGTCATTACCCCAAGATTAATGTCTTCGTCTTCCTCAAATTCTTCTGATCATGTTTGTGTTTGCAGCGGCTCTTTAGTTCGTGTTGCCTAAGCAACTGATCCTTGTAGTTTAAAATTTAGATTTCAAATAAGTAGCTGTCTTATACATTTGTTATTCAAATTATATGTGAGATTCAGTGATCCGGTTCTTTTCAACGTCTCGGCCTCAGTACGTATCTTAATTGACATCACTCTTAACGGTTAATTTGGCTTTACACAGATGAAAACAGGTCACCAAAAACGAAGCTTTCAGCCTACAAAATTTTTGAAAACGCAGCTGTTCTCGTGTGGGAGGATGAAAAGAGAAAATTTCGAAGACGTTGAGATGATCGAATCTCACGCTTGATAAAATAAAAATGTTCCACTGCCACCTTGCCTTTTTCAAAAAGAAATCAAGCATGTCTGAAGTTAATTGTTTTTCTTCAATGTGCAAGTTCAGTGGCTATTTCAGAAAGCGACTTTATCAGCAGGCCTACCGTTTCAGGGCCGTAGCCAGCCATTTCTTTCCTTTTCATCCGAGGTGTAGAAGTCGTAAAGGAAAGGGGGTAGTGAGGGGTTTGAGGAGGTAGAAGCCGAGCAAGATAAGTTAAAGTGTATTGGCCCATAAACGATTTCAGCACATTGTCAACCATTCCTTTTTTAATTTGCTTTAATACCCGTATGTACTCGTGTGGTGCTTTAGTCACTGAGATTGGGGCTTACTGGCAGCTGAAATGCAGCCACGCCCCAGCGTTTTATCGCCGAACGCCTTGGGAACGCGCGACGAAGCCCTTATACCGTCTGCGTGTCAGACTATGGGTAC